CGGGAATCAACATCAACAACCTACCTTCGCTCCGTATGAGCCCCAGCGCGGCTCCGTCAGCTTTATGCCGCAACCACAACCTGCACCGGGACAAGAGAGAGCACTGGACGCATTACAAGTTCAGTCGCAATTCGCGCATGTTCTAAAACTGCAAACGACAAAGCCTTTTGACGGAAAAGATTTCTTTACCTGGTCGTTCGAATTCGAGCTGATGATGGAAGGAGCGCAGATCCTTGGCTTCTTCGACGGGTCCCTGCCATATCCAACAAACGGCACACAGTATGAGAAGCAGCAGTATACTTATCAATCGATGATGGCGTACACAATACTACTGAGGAACATCACCCCGACTCAACAGCAAAACATAAGGCCTTACCGAGGTTACGGCAACTCCGCGGAGCTCGCGTACAACCACTTGAAGAACTTGTATCAAGCAACAGACAGTGTAAACCAAAGCAGGTTAATGGCGCAGCTGACAGCAATAGAAATGAAGCCAGGCGAGAAAGGCATGGAGTATATCAGTCGCTGCCGCGAGCTGTGCGACAGGCTTCTTCAATGTGGAGGATCGATCTCAGAAGACGCCTTTGTCACGGTTGTCATCGGCGGTCTTGGCCCTCACTGGCGCTCCACTCGCGCCATACTACGAGCACACGGGAGAATCTCCGAAGCAGCACTCTGCGCCGAAATCCATGTCGAGCAGCAGGACATGGACCTGCAAGAAGAACGACATAAGAAGAAAGTGTCAGTACCAGAGTTCGCTTTTCACACCCAGCGACGCTACAACAACAACAACAATCGACAACAACAACAACCGAAGCGAGTACGTCCGTTTTGCCATATTTGCAAGACTTCAGGGCATCCTCGTACGCACTGCCCGTATCGTCATCAATCGACAATACCACAGCGACAACTTCGACCTTCGAGCAGCCAGGTCGCTTCGACGCAAACAAACCCAACAACTTCAGTCCAAGCTTCAACGACTCCAACAGGACAACGTGCGCAAAAGCCAAGAAATATCGTCAACTCCATGGTAAAGATAACCGATTCCTGCACAACCGAGTCACCACCATACTACTCACCCGAAGAACCACTCAACAACAGCACGCCTCGCCGCGAGTCTCTTCAACCGAATACGACGTACGCCGCCATTGCTCAAAGTGAACCGTCCGGGAAAGACACTTGGTTCTTGGACAGTTGCTGCGGACAGCACATGTGCTCTTCGGGACGCTTCGTCCAACGCGAACATCGACTTCAACGAGAGGTCATCATCACAGTCGCCAACAACCAGAACCTGCGCACACGACGACAAGGAGTAGTACAGCTTCAGTCCAGAGAAACAAACGTTATACTGCATATTTCAAAGGTACTAATCGCGGAGGGACTCGGCTACAACTTACTGAGCGTCAGCCAGTTGATGGCGAAAGGCATTCACTTGGAGGCCGATAGTACCACCCAGGAGTTCAAATTATACCACAGGAAAGGCGGCCTCTACATCGGGAAGGCGGTCTTGAAAAACAACGTCTTCGTCCTCGACTTCGTCCCAGACCTGGGCACCGCAGACAGCGACGCCATCGTGAACTTCACTGACTGGACGCACCCTCCAGATCTTGATCCAGACTTCAGCCCGAAAAGTTTCTGGTACTCACAGACTATCCCTGAAGCAGAAAGAACACGCGCGTTAGCAACAATTCAACATTCAACAGCAGCAGAGACAACATCGACAGCAGCATAGACAATATCGACAACAGCAGAGACAACATCGGCAGCAGCAGAGACATCATCGGCAGCAGCAGAGACAACATCGGCAGCAGCAGCAGGACCAACGACACCAGTCCTCGTCAACGAAGCACCACCAACACCCGCACAGCAGTTGAAACCAACTCAACGAGAAGTCCACAGAAGCGTAAACTTCGTCGCCAGCTTCTACTCCAACTCCGACGCGTATCGACGCTCACCCGGACATCGCGCCTCCGAAGAAATCTGGCACGCACGAATGGGACACCCAAGCAACACAGTGTTAAATAACACGATAAGAACGGGAGTCCTAGACAAGGACTCCTTACTACTACCCGACGGCAGAGAACTTCAAAGGGCACGAGGGACTTGCCTTACCTGCCCCGAAGCCGACTTACCACATCGACCGTTCACTCCTCATCACAACCCGAGCGCACCCGCGTACGCACCACTCGAGAAGGTGTACAGCGACATCCTCTTCAATCGCGAACCAGGACAAGTTACCTACAACTACACGATTACCTTCATCGACGCCGCCAGTCGATATGTCTGGCATCTCAATCTACCCAGCCGCGACATGGCACTCGCAGCGTTCGCCGCCTGGCTACCAGTAGCAGAACAAGAGTCGGGAGCACAGCTGAAAAGCTTCCAGTCAGACGGAGGAGGAGAATACACCTCTCAGCGATTCAAGCAGTACCTGGCGGAAAGAGGAATCAAGCAACTCCTCTCCCTTCCCTACGCCCATCAGCAGCAAGGTGTCGCAGAACGAATCAACAGGACTCTGCAGAATAGCATGCGCAAACTGTTACGTGGCATGCGGCTACCCAACCACCACCAGCAAGGTGTCGCAGAATGAAATGGGTCTTCCGCATCAAAACAAAGGCAGACGGCACAATTGAGAAGTTCAAAGCACGCTGGGTCGTGCGAGGATTCGATCAGGAACACGGACGGGACTTCACCGAGACATTCGCCCCGGTTAGCCGACACACCTCACTCCGAATCCTCCTCGCAATCGCCGCCATGAAGACGAAGAAACTACGGCAAATCGACGTCGCTAACGCCTTCCTCTACACACCCGTCGACGCCGAAATCTTCGTTGAGCTCCCACATGGTACCCACGGGGAACCTAATCAGGTTTGCCAGCTATTGAAATCACTCTACGGAATCAAACATGCCCCACGGCTGTGGCAACAGCACCTACACACCCGCCTCACTCGCATCGGATTCCGTCTACTACCTCACGACCAAGGCATGTACCGACTCACCAAAGACGCCAACTACATTCTGCTTATCGTCTACGTCGACGATCTACTCTACATCGGTTCTACCAACGACATAACTACCTGGTTCGAAGGGGAGCTGAAGAAGGATCTCACACTCACGGTCTCCACTACCGTCACTCAATATCTCGGACTCAACATCCGCGAAGAAGAAAGTGCGATCTACCTCAACGCCGAAAAGTATGCCGACACCATCGCGAAACGCTTCACACTTACATCTGCTACTATCTCCACGCCATACCACTACACGGCAGGGAACGGCAAGGGAAGCTCCGCCATACTCAAAACCGCCAGAATACGCGATTACCAGTGAAAACTGGGCTGCCTCCTCTTCGCAGCCATCACCTGCCGCCCAGACCTGTCCTACTCCGCAAGCCAACTTGCTACCTATCTCAAGAGGCCCGAAGCAGAACACCTGGCAGAACTCTACCGCGCTCTTCATTATTTCGTGAGCACCGCAACGATCGGCCTGACGTACTACAAAAACACTACTACGCCGACGAAACTAATCGGCTACGTGGATGCCGATCACGCCGGCGACTTTGATATCAGGCGCTCCCGCACTGGCTACATCTACCGCCTAGAACCTATCGGACCTATCTCCTAGCAATCAAGCAAGCAGGAACTAATTGCGCTCTCCTCAGCTGAAGCAGAATATATCGCCCTCTGCTCAGCCACCAAGGAAGGACTCTACCTTTGCGAGCTGCTGGAAGAAGCGAAGTTAGCCGAGTTACCCAACTTCACCTTGTTCTGCGACAACCAATCCGCAATTCGCATCGCCAACAAGAGCGGATTCGCGAACAGAACGAAGCATATCGCCCTGCGATACTTCTTCGTGAAAGACGAAATCGAGAAAGGGAAACTCGATCCATCCTACTGTCCCACGTCCGAGATGGCAGCTGACTACTTGACCAAGAAACTTGGAAAACAAAAGTTCGAGTACTGCATGCTGCTGACTGTACAAAGCCACGTCACCATCAGCGACACTCCAGAAGCGAAGGGGAGTGTTGGGAACAAATAAGTTAAGCGACTCTGTCGTGTCATAACTCAAGACACAAAGCGAAGCAGGTCAAGTCGAAGCATCGCGAGTCAACTCTTGGTGGTTAACGTAACCGTCGGAGGTTACGAGAAAGTCAAAGGTCAGCGACCTTTGACCTGACGCAGCGCGACAGCAAGGACAAACAACTGACTCGACATTGAGCAGTTGCCCGAGTCGCACTGTATCGAACCGCAACAGTAAAAGTAGTTATAATGTCTCTTCATATTCTCTGTACTCATCTATTTATATTCCTGTATCTCTTTTATTTGCGCAAGGTGGTTCAAGGACTTTATTCAACGCTTCCGCTATTACATCACTTACTCAGACTTTAACTCTACAAAGATTCTAGGGCGTTTCAGCCCAACAAGGTGTCAGAATATTATCTTATTGTTCTAGCCTGTAGTGGGGTGCTCTATAGCGAGTACAACCCTTCTAGGGTTTGCTATTTGTATCCTCATTCTTGCTAGTTCAATCCTCTTTCTTTCTTCTAATTTTGACACAAGGGGCCGCCAGGGTTCGCCCATAAATCATCCGCAATTTAGGAGAGTGTTCACCCAACATACTGATATTACACTCTTTTTATTACTCACAAATAACAAACGCGATAGAGATTTCACATGATAGTTCCATTAAATTTAAAATTCCCCTGGTTGTAAAACCCTCCCTCATTTTGTGTTTCTTTTATTTACATACATTCGAGAGTGCTGTGTTCTCCGTGCTCGTTTTTTTTAACGCGTTTTACATTTCTGCACGCTTGTAGTGTATTCTTCGTTTGTGTAGAAAGTGGTAGTTTGGGATCGTAACCCTGCTTTTTGGCGGACGCGACGAGGAATACACCCCGCTCGAGGTGGTAACCGTCGCCCCTTGCATGCAGTCCGCGGTCGGGGTGCTACATGGCGGGTGATGGTTTTACCCGCATGCATGAACGGAACGCCCCCCACCTCAGGATGTCCGAAGGGGCCCGCGGGTTCATCCCCTCCACGCGCAATGGCACCCCCCTGCCTGTTGCTCGCGCTGCCCCCTTCCCGGATGCGTCCCGTCCCTATTAGGCTCGTGAAACCCTGTTTCACGGGCTCATTTTACCTTTCTCACTTTGCTCTCCTTCTTATCAACCTGCTAAGTCCTCTCCACCTACCTCTCGGTGCGAGCGATCTTCTGTGCTGTAGAGTTTGCGATTGCGTTTGCGTTTAGGCAGTGGGCGCTCGTAGGGTTTATCGCATCGGCCGCGCTGTAGGTAATTACACGCGTTCTGCCCCCGCCATGGCCGGTCGCGAATTGAAGGTGTTGTTGAACAGTGGCAAGCAGGGCGCTACTTACACTGCTACGATCTCGATCGCGGGCGCCACTGTGGAGCTCCCCCCCGAGCAGAGGAAGTGCTTCTCCGATGATAAGCATCCTTTCACCGCGACCTCCTTCGACTTTCTCGCATGGTAGGTCTACCTTGCGATGGCAGGCTTGTTAAGGGCGCCTTTTTGGGGTCGCATCTCGTCGGCTTAAGGCTTGTTTAGGTCTACCGTGCAGGTATCACGGAGGTATAATAGCAACCAAGCGTAAAAACAGCACCTCTGCAACATACGTACTTGACAATATGGTCCACCGCGGCAAGATGCTCAGGCTCGAGTTTGTGGGCAAGAGTCCGGTCTTGGGCAAGCGGAAACACTCGGAGCTGGTGAAGATGGCTCCTGAGAAGCTGGCCGCGGAGATCCTTCGTTTGAACGAGCAGCTGAAAAATCAGACGCGCAAGCTGGATGAGGTCGCGTCCGCAGTGCCCGGTGCTGAATTCGCGGTGGTGATCACGCAGAATTACGAACAACTCGAGGCCACGGTGGAGAAGGTGCTAACCCACGTGCAGAACACGGACCGGGTGATACGAATGGAAGCCAAGCTGGCCGCGAAGGACAGGGCGGAGAATCGCGACATGTGGGAGGTGCTGAAACGCGCTGCAGTCCGGTTGGAAGATAGCGCGGGAAGCATGAAGGGGGTGGTTGTGGACTCCATGGAGAACGCCCAAAAGAAGCTCACGGACGAGGTCACACGGAAGATAGACGGCGCGTCATCCAACATCGCGAGTACCGCCGAGAAAGCGATCACAACTAGTGGCGTCACAAACCCCCTCAACATCATCATCGCGATGCTTTCCGGGCATGCAGCACCGCAACAAGTCATTGATGGACCGCATGGGAAGGAGTTCGCGGAGAAGGAGGCAGGTAAGATGGCCGCGGAGAAGGAGGCCGGGAAGAAGGCCACGAACAAGGAGACAGTGAAGAGGGTCGCGGACAAGGAGACAGGGAAGGGGGTCGCGGACAAGGAGGCAGGTAAGTGTGAGAGCAGCAAGGGTGGGAAGCGGCAGAAAGGGGTCGCGATCCATAGCGTCACCGACCTTTTGAAGTCCAAGGGTGGCGCGGTCGTCGAACGTGCTGTGGGGACCAACAGGGGGGCTGCTGCTCCTGCTGGACCACCGCCTGCGACCTCGGGGGTGGAAGCTGGTAAAGGCAAGGCCAAGGTCGAGGACGCCTCGCCAAACACCACCTCCACCACCACCGCCATCACCATCACGATTGTGCCCGCGTCAGGCAACACCGCCGCGGTCGCGCCAGGACAGCCTGGACCCAGCTCTATCGCCCCTGCCATCCCCCCCTCTGCAGATGTGAAGGCGAAGAATCAGGGCCGCAGTGGTTGTAAGCCTCCTGCAGCTGCGTTCAAGTGTAAACGCGACGACGACGACGACTCGGACGCGGACGATGAGGTTGAGCTTGTGATGCAGAGGTTCTTGGGGCCAAGCGACACCAGCGGAACAGCGGCAAGCGCAAGGGCTGTAGTATCCGCCCTCCGCCCAAGGGTGGGGAGGGGATGGTGGGCGAACCGTGGTTGGGGGGGAGACGTCGCTGGCTCGGACATCACTCTCTCCAAGAGGTGCAGTATCTGACCGCGATCGCGGTGACGTGTTACGACAAGAAGATAGACCCTGGGCTCAAGCTGACTGCGCAGCAGAAGAGTGAGTGGGCCGAGGACATCTCCGCGACCGGGACATTGTGCACCGGGCTATTCGCCACCATGCACCTCCGCAACCTTTGCGGCATTGTTGACAGGTACGGTCATCTGATCACTCATTTGTTTTACGCGGTCACACTCGTGCCTAACCATGTTGCGTGTTACCCCATGCATGCAGGTACCACCACATGTTCAAGGCCTACCGCGACCTCACCCGCCGCGGGTCCCCGATCGGCAACGCGATAGCTTGGGCAGCCGCGGTGGGGAAGGAGGCTGGAGATGAGGAGCCCGATGTCACTGGCGCCCAAGCGGGCCTGTTTGCTGGTGCGGTCGCGTGCGCCATCGCGATGGTGTGGGAGACCAGCAACGGTCTCGAACTCGAGGCTATCGCTGATGCTGGATACTCCGCGGCGCAGCTTGTTGGCACGCCAGAAGAAACGGCCCGCGGTTACGCCACGATCGTGACCGCAGTTTTCAAGTGGGCCAGGAAGGAGAATGCTCGCAAGCAAGCCCCTGAGGTCACACCGAAGCAGATTGCGGAGAAGATTGAGACCGCGGTCGTGAACCGTCTTGGTGCACGACTTGGAGACCCCACTTTAGTCGCTATGGTCACGCACGAGGCAGTAGACGTGCTGATGACCTGGTGCGAGTGCAAGATCGCGGCCAAGGCAATGGAGGCCAACGTGCTCTACCTCTCTTTGCCGGAGAAGCGGCTGTCCGCGAAGAAGAGGTCCGCGTGAAGGTGGTAGTATAGAGGATGTGAACTCTAGGTGGCAAAGACTCTTGTATGTGTGGTCGCATGAGACTCCTCGTAGTGTAGGTAGCTTGCCCACCCTGCTTGAGATTTTCTTGTGGTGGTCATTCTGTCTGTGCTGTGTACTCCCTCCCCTTTTTCGTAATTCAACTCTTTTGCTTCTCACGCGGCCAGGGATTTGCGTAAATCCACCATGGGCATTGACCTAACATCACCCCTAAATAGGCACGGCGCTGATGGGAAGTATGCACGAGAGTAATAGCCGCGAGCAGTATGTGAACGCGTATGCGGTCACCTTTAACGCACATTTTTTGGTGAACAAACTGTACAGACCACACAATTCGACCGCGGTACAATTAACACCCGAATCTAGCAGTATGGTACTGGGTGTACCTGTTTGAAACACAATCTAAAGCTATTTCCCAACGCGAATATAGTAGGACCACCCAATTAAGCTAGTCGGGGCATCTGGGCACAGTACTGAGGCCACGCGACCGGAAACTCTGAGGCGGGTAGAGAGGCATCGATCATGCGGTCGCGTACCAGCATCCATTTCACCCGCAACTGCACCTCCGCCGGAGAACCTTTTTTCAGCTCGCTCAGGTTCAAGTCAACACTCTTCTTCTTCACTGCGATACCTTCCGACACACCCGACATGCCCACAGTTCGAGACACGAGGCCGAGCTTGTCGAGCACGACCGCGATGTTGTCTCCTTGCTCCACCCTGCGGGAGATGAAGTCCATGACTCGCTTTACACGGTTTATCGCGTTCTGGGCGGCGTTCTGGCCGCCTCCCTCCTTCCCAATGAGCTCGGCCATTCGCGTAACTGTTTTGCGGGGTTGGGACAGGAGCGACTCTGGACTCTCGCCGATCAGCGGGTGCGTGGACTTGTACAGCTTCCATTCGTCCGACGGCTTGGTCGCGTTGACCCATGATTTCATGATTGCGTCCCGAATTGTCTCGTCCCTGGTCGGCTGTGCGGGTTTCTTACGCGTTCCCTGGTCGGTGGGGGTTGCGGCATTGGTAGGCGCAGCTGCAGCTCCAGAAGTGTTTGCCGGACTCGGATCCGCGGTCGGCCCTGAGCTGCTCACGGTGAGACGCGACAGCTGGGCCTCCAGATCATTCACGCGTTCGCCTTTCGCGGCCAGCTCCCGATCGCGTTCTTCCAACAGACCCTCCAGCTCTTTCACCCGTTTATGAGTCGCTACCAACTCTACACCCAGCCTGGTGTTGTCCGCTTGCGAACGAGTCAGGTACTAAGTGAGGACGGTCACCTGGTTCTGCGCGTCCATTCTGGTATTGACCTCCTGCATATACAGAACGCGAACGCAATATTGTGATGGGTACTCATAGACATTACAGCCGAATTAGTAACGCGACCATACAGTACGCACCGCGGGATGGGTCAGTGTAGGTGTGTTTACGCTGTACTATGGTCAGCTGATTTTCCAAGGAGACATCTGCTGCCCACCGCGCAAATTCCTCCGTCTGGCAAAGCGGGTTGTTGACCATGTACGGGTGTCGCGGCTGGTGGATGTAATACATGGCCAGGTCTTGCGCGACCGCCATCCTAGCCTCCCCATCCAGCTCCTTCAGTATGTTTAGACCTGCGGTGTCCTGCTTCTCCGCCTTGTCCTCGCTGACCATCTTCCAGTTGTAATCATGGCACTGTGCAACACAACAACGCGGTAGTTAGCGCGGTGCCAGAAGGTTATGTGGAATGATCGCGGTCATTTGATACTACTTTACGCGGCCCACACATACCTGTTTCTGTCCTTTGTCCGGTGCGGCCCAGGAGAAAATGTGCTTCCTCAATTGCTTCTCCAGCTTCTCACTCATCGGAACAGTTGTGCAACCTAGGAAGTAGTCACCATCAACCCCTGTGAAGCCAGCCTTCAGGAGCACGGCCTCCCTCGGAATAGTTGAGAGGTAGTGCTTAGTCATCACGTCGATGAAGCGCCAACCCCCCAGTCTAGCCAGCTGATCAGAGGGCATTCCGTCCGCGGACGCGTGCTGAGCCCCACCAGCTCTCCTTGCGTGAGCCACACGCAAGCATGTGATTCCCGCGTCCCCCAAAATCTTCGCCGCCCTGTCGTGATGAGTCGTGGGCGGTATCTGCTCTCTGTGCCCGCGCGAAGGGGGAAGAAGAGGTACTGGTCGTACCACGTCGAGGGTTTCGTGAAGTCGAGAGGGGGGGCTATGTCCCCGTAGAGGATGGGGACCAAGTCGTACACCCAGTGCAGCCAGAGCAGCTTGATGTGAAATGAGTAAGCAGGAATGGGATGACTAAGGAAAGATTGGGTACAAAATACAACCCTAGAAACCCTGTACCCCATATGTGCTACCCCACTATAGCCTACAGCAACTATGTCATATAAATCTGACACACCCCCATAGGCAAAGTGGGGGAGAACAAGGGGTCACAAGACCAGTCAAGCAAAGCAAAGCAAGCTCAGGGTGGATCACAAAGTCACCACACAGTCCGAGCACAAGAGAAGGGCCAGAGGCCAGTTCACATGCAGGAGTACAGACATATATATAAAACTAGACAAACAAGAGCAGGCATATATATATGTCACAGTACAAGTGAAGTCAAGAGGAGAGCAAGTGAGGCAAGACAGGCACAAGACCCAACTGGGTGCAAAAGCGCTGATGGTCACAAGGCGCGAGTGCCTTGGTGAACACATCAGCAGTGTTGGCCTCAGAGGCCACGTACGCAAGTCGCAACTGACCACGCTGCTGCAGCTCACGAGCAAGGAAGTAGCGGAGAGCAATGTGCTTCGTTCTGTGCTCCAAGCGCTGCTCTCGACACAAGGCCAGCATAGCCTTGTTGTCTACGTACAGCACTGGAGGAGAACGAGGCGGCTCTCCAAGGTCAGTCAGCAGGTAGGTGAGCCAGCGAAGCTCCTGTGCAGCCATGGCCCCGGCGTAGATCTCAGCCTCACAACTGGAGCCGAGAACCGAAGACGAGCGAGTAGACCGCCACGAGACAGAGCCGGAACCAAGGCTGAAGGTGTAACCCTGTGACGACCGCTGCGTAGCCTGGTCGTCAGCCCAAGAAGCGTCCGCGTGGCCGGTAAGGACCACTGGACTCCGCCCTCCAAGCACTAGCCCCATGCCCGACGTACTGCACAGGTAGCGCAATACCCTCTTCGCTGCAGCCATGTGCTCCGGTCTGTGTCTCCCAGGAGCAACATAGCGTGCAAGAATGCTCAGAGGGTATGCAAGGTCAGGTCGTGTGCAGGTCATCAGGTACATGAGGCAGCCAACAAGCTCTGCATACGGACCACTCGACTCTACGGACTCATCCGAAGGCAGAGCTGAGAGTGAGTGGCGAGTAGGCAGAGGAGTGGCCTGAGGCGAGGAGTACGTGAAGCCGAAGCGCTGAAGGACCTGCTGCACCATGTGTGACTGAGTCAAGGTAATGGTGCGGCGTGCTCTGTCCCGAGTGATCTGCAAGCCAAGGTAGCTGCGCAGTTCACCCAGGTCTGTGCACGTGTGTCTCTTCAGCAGCTCGGACTTCACGTAGGCGAGTCCAGCAGTGTCTGCTGTGGCAAAGACCAAGTCGTCGACGTACACGAGGATGTAGAACGGCGGCAGGGAAGTGTCGGTGCGAAGAAACAGCGACGGGTCAGCAGTAGAAGGAGCAAACCCAAGAGCCGCAAGCGTAGTCCTCAGTGTGTCGTGCCACTGACGCGGTGCCTGGCGGAGACCGTAGACTGGCCGTCGGAGGCTCCACTGGGTGCCAGGAGGGAAAGTCCCAGTGAAGCCAGGTGGACGGCGAAGCCAGATCTCCTCGTGTAGGCTACCCTGCAAGAAAGCAGTGCTGAAGTCGAGAGAGTGAAGCTCGTAGTCGCGCTGAGCGGCTATGTGCAGCAGCACCCGAAGAGTAGTCATCTTCGGGGTGGGAGAGAAGGTCTAAAAGTAGTCAACTCCCTGCCGCTGACTGAAGCCACGAGCAACGTACCGTGCCTTGAAGACAGGTGGAGAGCCCGGCGGCCGCTTCACCCTGAAGATCCACATGCCACTGACGATGTTCGCCCCAGGAGGGGGAACTGCGTCAACGTAGGTGCCTGTGGACTTCAAGAAAGCCATCTCTGCATCCATAGCTGCCTGCCACTGAGAGGAGTAGGGACCCTCTACGGCCTCCGCGTAAGAGCGCGGAGTCGGGATGTCTAGTGCATCCGGGTCTCCCTTAGGAGCAAGCAGTACAGACGCGAGATTAGGTGAAGCAGCAGCCAGACACTGTAACTCCTCCTGCCTGTCCTCTAGGACGTCCGTGCTAAGAGCACACTCACCCCCGACGGACGGAGGACAGACAGACGCAGAATCAGCAACAAGACTAGCAGCGTAGTCGAGACGACAGCGAGCAGCAAAGTCGACGAGCTCAGCGACTAGAGCAGACGCAGCAGTGGACTCAAAAGAGGGGTCAGTGACGACAGTAGCAAGCAGACGTGTGACAGTAGGACTGGCAGCACGAAGAGAGTCCGACTCAGGGTCGGCAAGCGCAGGAAGAGAGGACTCAGGAGGAGAAGGCAAAGGGGCACGCAGAGGAGCAGTGGACGGACGCAAAGACATCCGGTGCGTGCCAGGGACAGGAGGAGGACGCTGACGCGAACTGCGACCACTAGCGTGAGCAGCACGACGCGGGACGAGACGCAGGCTCACGACGCTCAGCAAGACCTCCAGTAGGACCAGTGTAAGGAGAGGGAGCAGGCAGTGGAGAGGAAGGCTCCAGGAGGGACTGCGACTGGACAGGCGGTGGACCCTCTACCGGAGGAGAAAGACCAAGAACCTGCTGCAAGAGCGGAACGAAGTACGGCCGAGGCCGCGCGGCAGCTCCAGACGCAGCAGGGTCTGCACCAGCAGCCTCAGCGACAGCACCAGCGCCACCCAAACCTCCAGTGGCAGGACCAACAGCAGTAGGCTCAGCACCAGCTCCCTCAGCAGCTCCAGCTCCAGGAGGACCCGCAGGTCCAGCAGCTCCGGGACCGGCAGCACCCGCACCCACGACGGTCGAAGAAGCTCCAGCTCCAGCTCCAGCAGCACCTCCAGACTCAGCAGCACGCCTCCAGCGGCGAGCGAACCACTCGCGCAGCTCCTGTGGAGAGAGGGGCTCCCAGCGAGACGCAGCAGCAGGAGAAACCCCAGGCTCAGCAGCTCCAGACGCAGCACCCCCAGGCTCAGCAGCTCCCAGCTCAGCACCTCCAGGCTCAGTAGCTCCCGACCCAGCACCCCCAGACCCCGCACCCCCAGGCACAGCACCCCCCGGCTCAGCACCCCCAGGCTCCGCACCCTCCGCAGTAGCACCCTCAGGCCCAGCACCCCCAGCAGTAGCACCCCCAGGCTCAGCACCCCCGCGCACAGCACCCCCAGAGTCAGCACCCCCAGGCTCAGCACCCGCAGTAGCACCAGAGTCACTAGTAACCTCAACCGGGTCAACGGCGTCTACTTGGGACACACCTGAGGGGGCAAGAACCTGAGGGGGGAGGGGGTCTACCGGGGGGGGAACCGGCACAAGGAAGTCCGGGGGAGGGGGGAGGGAAGGAGTGCGGTAGGGGAAGAGACGGTAGAAGGGGACTGACTCGTCGAACGTGACGTCCTGGGAGGACAGAACACGACGAGAGGAGGGATGGTAAAACTGCCACCCTGGGGCGTCAGTGGGGAAGCCAAGGAAGACACAGGGAGCAGCACGAGGGGACAGCTTGTCCGCAGACAAGTCGCGGACAAACGCCCGAGATCCCCAGACACGGAACACAGACGGATCGCCAACCTTCCCCGTCCACAGCAAGGCTGGGGACATCGCAGGCCGAGAGACCCGGGGGTGAAGGTTGAGCTGATGCGCCGCGTACCTCACCGCAAACGGCCACAGAAAATGGGGGGCAGCCGCATGCATCATGGACGTACGAGCGACATCCATGACCATGCCAATGCGGCGCTCACCAATCCCATTTTGCTGTGGTGAGTCCGGAAGCGTGAAGGTCTGGCGGATCCCCCGTGCACGACAGTAGTCTCGCAGAAGGCGAGAAGAGAACTCTCCGCCTCTGTCCGAGTGCAGACGCAGAACAGGAAAGTCCGAGCCGAAGCTCTTCCTGAGCTGGAGACGAGCCTCGCGGATCCAGTCGATCAGCACCTCAGTGACCGCACCCTTGCTGCGCAAGGGGAGGACTGTGGTGTAACGCGAGTAGTCGTCAACCACCAACAGGAAGTAGCGCTCGTAACCCTGCCCACGGACGGGGGCTGGGCCCCACACATCCATGTGAAGCGTCTGCAGGGGAGCCTCTGTCGGGGGGAAGTGGGAGGAGTGAGGAGTAGCCCGGAGGCGACCCTCGACACAGGGGACACAGGAAGGTCCTGGCCCGGAGGGGAGAGGAGGGAGAGACTGGGGAAGACCAGAGACAAGGACACGGGAAGCCATGCTCCCAAGACGGGGCAAGGAGGGGTGGCCAAGACGGTGGTGCCACAGGAGAGTCTCGTGAGACAAGAGGCGAAAAGAACAGGGGGCAGACTCAGGACCTGACCGGGACGCAGCAGCAAGCACCTGACCCGACGCAGCCACCTGACCAGACGCAGGGACAGGAGGAGACTCAACGGTCAGGGTGTAGAGACTCGACCCCGGCCGACGCGAGAACGTGGCCAGGTGTCGGCCTGTGCGTGCCTCCGTGCAGTGGGTCACCCGCTGACTCGCAGGAGTGAACTGGTGAACACCCCCATCCTGCAGGTCCGCTCCACTCACCAAGTTCGTGGAGAACGAGGGAAGGTACAGACCCGACAGGGTGCCCAAAGGGGCAGCCGGACACGGGAGGACAGTGGAGAAGTGAGACAGGACAGGACCTCCAGAGGGGTCAGCAAGGGAGACTGCAACCGGTCGGCCGAGCGGCGTAAGGGTAGTGCGGTCTCGAAAGAAGGAGCGAGAAGCTCCGGAGTCAAGTGTGAAAGTGAGGGAGGACGAGGACGACGCAGTACCTGAGAGCGCAGTCTCACCAGTACCTGAGAGCGCAGACGCACTGGCACCTAGAGCAGCAGCCTCACAACCACCTAGCGCAGCAGTACCAATGCCCGAGTCGGGCTGGAAACAACGGTAACCCTCATTCTCCTCACTATAATCCACAACATACATAGCAGTAAGGATAGCATCAAAATCAAGATCAAAGATCGCTACACCAGCCCTGAGAAGCTCATCCCAGCGAGGGATCTCACTAGCCCCAGGGAACTGCTGACGCCAGGCGTCCGTCAGGCGGCCAAAGCAGCGCTGGGTGGCGTGGGCACCCCCACACTGCTCACCCGCGCGGTCGCCGGAACGAAGAACGTAGGTGCAGGGACCAGTACCCCCACCCCTCTGACGCCTAGTGTACCACTCACGAAGCTGCTGAGGCGAAGGGATGTCCCGAGAGCGCTGCTGCTGCTGCCGCTGCGAGCGCTGGCCACCACCACCGCCGCTACGCTGCTGGGTACCACCCTGACCAGCTCCACCCCCTCCACCACCACTGCCTCCTCCGCCGCCGCCTCCACCGCCTCCACCTCCGCCGCCTCCACCCCCGCCGCTGCCTCCACCACCACCGCTGGCACCACCACTACTGTCCCCGCCGCTGCTGCCACCACCACCACCACCCCCACCACTAGTCCCGCCGCCACCCCCACTCCCTCCGCCGCCACCGCCGCCACCGCCACCGCCCCCTCCAGCTCCACCCGCGCCCTTGCCCCCCTTGCCCTTGCTGGAGCGACGTCTCCCACTAGGGGCAGACGCCGCGCCGTCCGACTCAAGACCAAGCAGGTCGGCAACAGCAGCAGAGGCAACAGAGGGCAGCAAGGGGGAAGAAGAGCACCCCTCAAAGATGGGGGTGCGAGGGTCACCACGAGAAGCACCTACAGCGACTATGCTCTTCTCCGCTGCGAGGAGGGCCTTCTCGAGGAGGTCGACGGTGAGCGTGGTGGGGCAGACTGCGAGAAAGTGGTCCCTGACGACTCGAAGGGAGTCAGGGAGGCGCGCGACTACGTAGTAGAGAGCGATGTACATGGGGGGGGGGTTCTTAGCGCAGAACTCAGCAGGAAGGGCGGCGCGGTAGCGAGTGTCACTAGTGCGGAGATGCGTAATGAGGTCAGCGACAGTGGGAAAGGCAGAGAGGTCAGGAAAGAGGTAGGGAAGCATGAGACGGCTCAGTGCAGCAGTGGCAGGGGAGGAGTAGCGCGCAACTACAGCGTCGTACAAGGTCTGAGCACTCTTGTACTGATTGAAGTGCGCACGCTCAGAGGTAGGAAGGTGGCGACGCACAGCAAGACGTGCAGCAGCATCGCGGGTGGCCCACTTAGAGCGGACAGCGGGATCAGCATCAGTAGCAGGAGCAGGAGAGGCGCCAGAGGTGAGGTCAAAGAGAGAAAGGTCGTCAGCTCTGTCGCACTGTAAGAACAGCTGCAGGTCGTCTAGCCAGACCTCAAAATCAATGGCGCGACCCTCAGCGTCAAAAGCTAGGACACTAGGGGCAGCCATGACGACGACTGTGAAGCAGTGCAAGCAGTAGGGGGGAGAGCACGCAGTGACAGTGGGACTGTGCTCACCAGGCAGGGCAGGTCGCGTAGCTTGACAGAAAGGCAGCTCGGCGACCGGGCGGCTCGGGTGCAGGGCGGCTCGGCTCCCGGGCGGCTCGGCTGCAGGGCGGCTCGGCTCCCGGGCGGCTCGGCGGCACAGCTGCTCAAAGGTCCGCCCGCACAGTCGCTACAGGTGGACGGCGGGGCCGATGCGTAGTGGGCGGCGAAGCCGCGGTTGAGCAGGCGGCGGCCGCAGCCTAGTGGGCTGGGAGGCCGCGGTCGTAGCAGGCGGCGGGGCCGTGCGAGCAGGCGGCTGGGGCCGCGGTAGTAGGTGGGCGGCGGGGCCGCGCGAGGAGGCGGCCGGGGCCGCTACGGTAGTAGGCGGCGGGGCTGCGGTCGAACAGGCGGCTGGCGCCGCGATCGTAGCAGGCGGCGGGGCCGTGCAAGCAGGCGGCCGGGGCCGCGACAGTAGCGGGCAGCGGGGCCGCAGTCGAATAGGCGGCTGGGGGGCCGCGGTCGAGCAGGCGGCCAGGGCCGCGGTAGTAGCGGGCGGCGAGGCCGTGCGAGCAGGCAGCCGGGGCCGCGACAGGAGCGGGCGGCGGGGCCGCGGTCGAACAGGCGGCTGGGGCCGCGGTCGTAGCAGGCGGCCGGGGCCGCGATCGTAGTGAGCGGCGGCCGCGGCGTAGCGGGCGGCAGGGCCGCGTCGAGCAGGCGGCTGGGGGGCCGCGTCGAGCAGGCGGCTGGGGGCCGCGTCGAGCAGGCGGCTGGGGCCGCGTCGAGCAGGCGGCCGGGTCGCGTGTGGGAGGGAGGCGACACGGAGGGTCGCTCGAGAGCGGAAAAAAAAAGTTGAGCGCGCCTCGGGGCGCGCTTCGGTGGGCCCTAGGCAGAGTTCCACAGGGAACCCGCTCTATACCATGTGAAATGAGTAAGCAGGAATGGGATGACTAAGGAAAGATTGGGTACAAAATACAACCCTAGAAACCCTGTACCCCATATGTGCTACCCCACTATAGCCTACAGCAACTATGTCATATAAATCTGACACTTGACTCCGACCGCGCACAGAGTCCAATCTATGTGTCTCACTGCCGAGATGTAGTTGAGCGAGAAGTCCTTGTTTGTCTTGCCCGTCCTGCATGCGCAGACAAAAACGAACGCGTTCCGCATTGGGTCCGTCTCGGATTTTGCGCCGAGCTTCCACATCATCATGTCTGGAAGCTGGAGGTTTCGGATCGTGCACCCGCGGGCTAGTGTGTGATGAACCAGGACGGTCATCGTCCGGATGCAGAGGTCGCGATGCAGTGCATGCGTGTACTGTTGCTTGGCTAGTGTGAAGCTGCTCAAGATGGCGGCCATGCTGGTCTTCCGCATCATCTTCTTGAACTCGTCCGGGCTGTATGTGTCCGCGGCCGTGCCTCGATGGCGATCCATGTGTTCCCTGCGCAACCAGTTAGACGATAGTGAGTCTGTTAGTGAACGCGGTTTCATTGGACATACGTGTTCACTGGGTTCGTATACTTACGCGATAAACCGCTTGTACTGGTCGCGTACTTGAACGCGGACCCAGATGCGACACTCCGCAAAATCGCGCAGCAGGTTCAAAACGGGCTTCCTGAAGATGGCCCCGTCCAGCTTGATGAGGAGGTTCAAAGCCTTGAGACGCCCCATTAGCATTGCAGGGGAGCACTGGCATCTCTTCTTCAAGGTCTTGTCGGGCCGCTTGAGTGTGGCCATCCTGTTCGCCTGCACGACCGTCTCGTTCGCGAGGAAGGTCACGTATTTACGTAAGCGCCATGGATTTGTCTCAGGGCCGTGGAACCACTGCTCGTCGCCCTCCGCCATCTTCCAGTCACCACCCATGTTCTGCTCGAGTGCGGCCCCGATCTCGTCGGGGTTCGCGTTTCTCAACGAGGCCTCCTCACCGAACCTACTCACGTCCAGTTTCGGCAGCTCGTGCGCCATGAAGAGCTTGTACTCTCTGGCCCAACCGCGATATTTCTTCAGTGTGGCTTCAGAGACACCGTAGAGGATGCCCATGCACATCACTCTTTTTGCGGCCGGCGTGTCGTCCACACCAAGCCTATTCCAATCCGCGATGGGGACCTCCAAGTCCGTTCGCGTACCCCGCACCCGTTCGTTGTCTTCCGCCTCCTCCTCGTTGAGCGCGGACAGCGAGTTCAAAAGGTAGTTTCCGTCATCGTCATTCCAACTGTCGTCCGCATCTCCCGCGTCGTCCCTGTCATCCTCATCGCTTTGCCCCTCGCTCCCCTCCCTCGATCCGTTGCATGCCGTGTGCGGCACGACTTCGACTCGCCGCCTCCTTATACGCGGTCTACTGACTGGCACGTTCCCGGTACCTCCGGTCGCGTTAACACCGTTACCTCTGCCGCCGTTGCCTGTCACCCCAGGCGCTCTCCGCCCATTCGCACTACCTCCGTTCCCTCCCACACCGGTCCCACGTCCCGCACTTGCTCTCCCACCCCTTCCTCTCGCACCTGTCCCTCTTCCCGCGTCCCCTCTCACACCAGTCCCTCTTCCTCTTCCCGTGTTTCCCCTTGCACCAGTCCCTCTTCCTCTTCCCGCGTTTCCTCCTGCACACGCTCCACGTCCCGCGTTCCCCGTGTTCGCCTGTGGTTGCCCACCTACACCGGTCGCGTCCACTGCGGTCGGTTGCGTGGGGGTGCGGATGTGGACGTCCGGGTTTCCCGGCAACAGTGAGTTCACGTTCCATATTGGCGGCGAATGTGCACGCGCGCTTGCATTCATCCTCGCTCCACCATTCACCTCACGCACTAATCCGCCGGTATTCGCGTTCGATAATGGGTCGTCTGTTCGCGGCTGTGTGTCCACACCGACCACTAATGGTTCTCTAGGGTCTGGCGAGGCTTGCCCCGTTGGCTGGCTTTCCGGATAGATCGCGCTGGGGAATGGGGTTGACAAGGCGACTGGAGGAGTCGCGACAGACGCGGGTGCGTGCACTGTGGGCGGTGGTTGATCGCCGATGTACCCGTACCTGAATCCCACATTCGCGTACTGCGGCCCTACAAAGCCACGCACAGGCATCCCATAGAGCAGGCTTGTGGGCCCGGACGGGGACGCGGTGTGTTGTCCATCAACCTGTGGTCTGGGATGAGGCGTGGATACTCCATGCGCGGTCAGATCATCCTGCTGATTTTGAAACGCGACCGTCCCAGCCGCAAACGGAATATGTGGCCGCGGTGCTAGGTGGAGCCCGTTCACCAGTTGCTATGGGTGGAACGCGGGCATCCGCGACCCAATAACCACATGCTGCATGTATGGGATGCTCCATGTGGGGTTGAGCGCGTGCACGCCTTGCACGGGGGCGAGAGGCAGATCGGTATTATGGATTTGCTGCGCGGTTGTGTTGCCTGTAGCATTGATGGAGTCGTGAAGTATTGGCGCCGCGACGTGATTCACGATATGCATGCGGCGTGCGATAATGCCCCTACTCCTATTCACTGCGCGCGTCAACATGATGCGCGGTCACTAATTTTACACCCAGGGCTGACGTTTCAAATTTGGGTACACTGATGGTGCAAAAAAAAAAAAAAAAATTTACTCTGAGGGCACTTCGGCCAGATTTTGGCCACTCTGATGGCTCAGTCTCCAGGAAACCCTTTCCCTGTGGTCACAGGGTTGGCGAACTATGATCAGAGTGCTGTTTCTATCATTTGTTAATTTTTACACAAGCACTATCAACAATGCCCGGCCGGGTTTAGGGTTCACACAACACAGCACCAAGAATCCTACTTTGTCGGCTGATCTATGTCATACATCTCCTCCCCCTCCTCGCCATCCGAGAGGAACGGGTTAACATCTTCCTCTGAGTAATCTCGGGGCGGTGACTGCTCTATCTCCTGATCCATCTCCAGGTTGTCGTCACGATCATCGTCTGACTCCGCGAGCTCCTCCTCCTCGCCCGCCGGCTCCCTGGGTTCCTCCTCTTCCTCCTCCAGTTCCTTCTCCTTTCGCTTGCGATCGTCAGATGGGAACAGAACGCTCTGCGCAGGGCGCCTCTTCTTGAGGCTTTTCCAGGTGTCGAGCACCCCAGGCCAGTCCATCTCGTACTGCAGCAGCGAGATCTGCATCAGCTCCGCGAGCCGCGCGTTGCAGAGAGACCCACGGATCCACGACTTGATCACGTTTTGACGCGAGAACCCCCGCTCGCACTCCACAGTGGAGAGTGGCAGGACTGCCAACGCCTGCCACATCAGCAACAGGTTGGGCCAGCGCCTGCACAAAACAAGGAGCATCAGTTTTCCCGAAGCGTTAGATTTGAGACATGCATGTGGCACACGCAGACTAGGTGGACTTACCTCTTGGCGTCGCCCCTCCCCATGAAGTTCGCCAGTCCCTGCGTGGTGAGACTCCATGATTGGGCACCAGGTTGCCAGCTCCTGCGACGCTTTCTTGTGATCAAACCCCGGCAGCTTGTTCTTGAACAGAGCGGCGCAGCCAGTCAGCCAGTCCTGGCACTTGCGGTCTCGTGCGTGCTTGCTCTTGGGCCATTGAGACGCGCGAAATAGCTTCGTTGGACCCATCCCCCGCAGGTCGTCTAGGCGAAACAGGAGACGATCGACGACGTCCGTCGCGAACTTGCGACACAGCTTCACGCACGCCTTGTAGCCGCTCTTGTACTCATGGTCCTTGAGCTTCCTCTCGTGCAGGATGTACGAGTGGTTCACAGGGCGGCCCTCCGAATCCGAGCCACGCACTCGGACCGTCTGACCCGACTTCTTGCCATACAGCTCCAGGAATTTCGGCAGCCATCCGTTGCCGGAACCACCGAAGTCCGCCTTCTTCTCCAGGTACCTGTGCTCGAGGTCGCCAGTGATGGACTCCACGGTCTTTGACACCTCAGTAACGTCGACCTGTCCACTGTCGAAATATATTGTCATGTTTTATAACTGCTTGTAGTTGTAGTTAGTGTAGTTATTTAAACTGTTGTTGGTGGTGCACCTTATTTGGTTTCTATGCTATATGTACCCTTGAACCTATAGTGAAACCACCTCTTTTCACCAATTCCTCTCTCAACTCACTCGACACCTCGCCTAGGGCAAAACCCGCTCGATACCTAAGTACGGGCCTAGGCTACTAAGCCTAGGCCCTTCCTTTCAACGTTCCTATTACTCTGACATCCACAACAACTAGGGAATTAGGACACGATGAAACAACAAACATAGCCACCCACAAAACGCTAACTCACCTGCCGCTTCTGAAACGAACGGTTGAGATCATTCAGGTCGCCGAGGATGTCAGCGAGGAAGAAGAGGCAGAACTGAAACTTGTACGATGTCACCGTCTCGTACAAGTCGTGCTCCTTCTCGTGGAAGAGCACAATCGCCCACCCAGCACCTTGCACAGACGCTTCACCGCGTCGCCCTGGGAGAGCCAGCGCACGCTGTGTATGCCTTGGACCTCGAGGTTTGTGTTGTATATGACGCGCTGAAGGTACTTGAAGCGTTGGCTCCAGTGGCATGAGGCGCCAAGGCGTTCAGCAAGAGTGCGCACCACGGTGTCCACCATCGCGAGGTCGGGATTAGCCGTGGCCGCGTCCTTCACCGCCAATGCCTCCCTGTACATCCAACTAGCCAATGATTAGTATCCGTCGGGATCTTCGTGAGGTGCTGTACATAAAGCAAGATGTAGGTGCGGTAAAAGATTATATCACCTGTGGGCGATGCAGTGTGTTGACACGAGATGCGGCACATGTTCCCGCAGTCTTGTGACGAGGCCGTTGTCACATCCAATCATTACAGACGCACCGTCGGTGCTGATGCCCACCACTCGGTTGATGTCAATGCTGGCGGTGTGTAGGTGGTTGAGGAGCACCGACAAGAGAGAAGCTGCATCACACCGCTCGACAGTAAGAAGGGTGAGATACTCAGTAACGACTCGACGATTGCGCAAGAACGTGATGTACACAATCATGTGCTTCCCGCGGGTCCGGTCGGTGCTCTCGTCTGTGCTCAAGCCGAGGAAGGGCGACGAGGCGATGTGCTCCATCTGCGTATGAGTCAACCAGGTGCTCAGACAGTGCACCATCTGTTGGAAACCGTATCTGCAATGGTTACGAAGAAACGAGACGTTAGCTTTGAAAGACAGTAACCAAACGTTACCTAAATTACAAACCATACATACGCACCGAGTGAGGTACACCCCGTAGGCCTGCTTCGGTATGTCGAGGGTGTCCTGTTCAGCGAGATGCCTCATGAGCTTCGGGAACATGCTGATGGGCGCGTCCTCCCGGCAGAGAAACTGCACCGACCTCATCAGCCGAATAGCCCGCCTTCCCTCAAGGTCAGCGTTGATGAAACGATCAATTTTCGTCTGGCCGTTCGAAATCGCCTCCGCAATCTCCGCCTGACGCTGCATCGCCTCCTTGTGGACCATCGTGTGCTCATGGATGCGCATCGTCTGCGTCTGCAGGTCTCGCCCGCCGTCGCCTGGACCTGAGTACTTGGTTGTCTCCTTGCCGAACGAGAGATACAGGCTGCACTTCACACTGGGACCACCGTCTTTAGCGCGAACCAAAAGCAGCCACGGGAATTTGGGCAACCACTGGGTTTTATACTTAACACTCGCCTCTATGTACTTCTGCTCCATTACCTCAGCCTTGGACAGGATGGGAGAGTTGGTGTCCGCACGTACAGGTATCTCCTGTGGTTCCTCTGGTTCGGGCTCGGAGTCTTCTGGAGCGCTTGGTGGTGCCACGCGCACACCGCCGAAGGTCAACGTGCTCTGCTGAAACTTCCCGCGGAGTACGACAGTGCGCGCCTTCTTAGCTGTACGACCCTCGGGCGCGGGAGCGGCATCATTGCAGCCATTGCTACCAACAGCAGAGGGAGGCGCTGTACTGGACGACGGGATGGCGGGAGGGAGAGTGAACGGCGCTGGTGGTGGTGCGGGATTGGGAGGAGGTTGCGGCCCCTTGCTAGACGACGGGATGGCGGGAGGGAGAGTGAACGGCGCTGGTGGTGGTGCGGGATTGGGAGGACGTTGCGGCCCCTTGCTAGACGACGCAATGGCGGGAGGGAGAGTGAACGGCGCTGGAGCAGGCGCGGGATTGGGGGCCGGCTGCGGATTCTTGCTGGACGACGGTATCTCCTCGGTATTAACAACAGCAGCGGTAACCACAGATTCTGGAGTGACTGGAGCTACGCTTGATCGAAGGAATTCTAGGCCTCTAACCCTACGATCGGGAGGCTTTTCCGGGACGGCCTCAGGGGAGTCCTCCGCGGGAGATGAGGACGCCATGGCGAGAGAGAACGATGAATCAAGAAGCTGAAAGCACGGGAATGAAAGCAAACTGTGAAACTGGGGGAGGCCCTTCAGCCTGGAAAGAACCAGCTGCAGCAGACGGAACGAAAGCCGCGTCGCCACGACAGTGGCGACCGGAGTGGGGTGGGGTTTGATGAACGAATCGGGCCTCGAAGACGGGGCCAAATTCATCTGCCACAATGCCACCACACATAGCTGGCCTCGCCATGCCACCAATCGCGATCAACCCATCACATTAAGTGAGGGTGGCGCGGTTCGCGTGGCTGCAGAGTCATCATCATAGTGGCCGCAGCACGCCGCACCTGGCTACCTTGCTGTGCACAGCGCACCAACAGATTTTGTCAACATTACGTGGTTTCGAGGCCATGCGAACAAGAAGACAACCACGGGGGGTGGTGAAATGATTACGCATGAAACATTTTTAATGGGGGGGGGGGGGGTACTTTCGGACATTTCGGGGAAGCTTCCTCTCAATACACCGGCATACAGGGTCCACATACTGTATTCTCTGTAGAGCCAGACTCCAGAAACGACTAAGTCTGAGACCTAGTATTACACTATATCAGGGGCCTACAAACAAAAACACTGAGGCCCTCAGGGATGAGATTTTGATTACTCTGCAAATCCATTTTCCACAACCTCACAATGTTCTGATTGGTCAGACTAATCAGACTAGTTAGTCTGATAGCGTCAGCCCTGTGTACACCCGGGTGTGACTGCGACCGCGGTGCTCGCGGACATTCGAGAGCGACACACACCTTAACCGCGACCCTGGTGTCCCATTTTCCGTCTAAGTCCGGTGAATCCAGTGGGTCATGAGAGGGAAGAGCTTGGTGTGCAACATGCGTGCGAAAAGTGAAAGTGTGGGCATGCACGGACTAATGACCGGACTTCGCGTGGACGTGATTGATTGCTACCGCGATCGCGCCTCGACCAAACAGCGACAGCTGTGTGGCTCGTTCGAATTGCTGCACGTGTCAGCCAGCATGGAGACTACCAGATCGCGCCAGCTGTTTCCGAACCGAATCAAGCGGTGCGCTTACCCACCCACTCCTTGTGCGAATTTCGTTCGCGATAAGATGCGAGACAACACAACCAATACGGTAGTAGCGCTCCATTTTTTCGTGAACGCTCAGTTGCATGCGCGGGAAGTCCCGCTCGTTAATGTTCCCGACCAATCACGTGCGTTTGCTACCGAGTCGCGCATGCATCGGCGCGTAAGAACGAGATAGGTTCCTTCGGTTTTTGGGGGAGCGCGGAGCTTTCTGTAGAAACGTGGTGGGTTTCACTGAGCCACGCAGGGCCACGCTAAGGCCAAACCTGGTGGGATTCTGGGTGGCCGACTTCGCCCCACGCTCCCCGCGATGTCTCCGCGCCCCGTGCATCCCAAGGCGTGGGTGGGGTTTTTCCCGAGCCGCGCTGTATGAACAGCCCAATCTGTCGCCCTACGTCACGGTACATTCGATGTTTGTGACACAACATTGGGAAAATTAACAGGCGCGACTCGGGAAAACGGGGATTGAGACACAAGTGTCCCCACAGGAATGCACCCTTATACTGCCAAAATTACAGCTTCCTATATCAGTTACAGCAAGAGACCAATCGAAAGTTGACAAAAAAATCAAATCACAAGAAAACCCATAAAACAAGAAAACCATGGCACAAGAAAACCATGGCACATCAATCCACGGGCAGCACGTGAGCATGATGAGCATGCAATGGATACCAAGCGAGGGCCCTAGTCCTTGGTATGCATTGCATGCTCATCTCACTGGACTGACCCCAACCTACACCCACACCCTCCTTCCCCCTCCTCTCCCTCTCACAGTCATGTTTCCCAACCCCCTCGTTTCCACCACTCACCCCTCTCGCCCCATTCCACTATCCACCATCCACGTTGCACTATCCACTCTCTACCTTATTCCCCAAAGCGAGGGGCGATGCGGAGCGTCGCAGCAACGGCGATGCTTAACAGGCCCTGTCACTGTCACCGTCAATCTCCATTTTCAAGACACACGGTGCAGTGGTAACTGAGATTGTTACACTGTCCCGCTCAGCCCGGCCCTTGCTGCTGCTCCTAGCTTCTCCCTTGCCCCCCGTTACAATCACCTCCAGCTGGGCATCATCTGGGGCGACAACCCTGAGCCCGTACGCCTTCACGGTGCGCATCTCCTGGCACAGCGCACAGCAGGGGCACGCAACCCATGTGCCGAAATCCGAGAACGCCTTGTGTCCGCACACCCATGTCTGCGCAGGCAGGTCGAAGGTCCGCCGCAGCTTCCACCGCCAGTACCCGCCGTACAGCAGCCCCATGAGCGCCCCCGCCACGCCGAACGCCACGGTGAGCGCATGCAGCGCGGGGTTGGTCATGAAGCGCGCGGATGCAGTGAAGACGAGCGGCGGGGCGAGCAGGAAGAGGAGCAGGTTGAGCGCGTGGAAGAACGGATGGCCGAAGCCCGCACGGTGCAGGTGCCGCGCGAAGGCGCACGGGCAGCAGAGCGCCACGCGCGCAGCGATTCCGCAGTCGTCTGCTACCCCCCACAGCGACCCCGCCCACTCGGGTGCGTCGTTAGTAACAGCGGCTCCCTGCGCTGCCATTGAGCCCTGATTGTCGCCTGCGCATGACGCACGCGGCTGCCACACAGCGCGCTTGTCCACGTGGCAGCTGCTGCTGCGCTGGCTGTGCGAGCTCTGCAGGCGGGCGGAGCCGAGGCGGAGTGAGGGACGATGGTCAGGGGACGACCAGAGGTGGCACGAAAGCGCGCTGAAGGACTGGGAAGAGGGGGAAGAGGGGTAAGCGTGGGGGCCCAGGGCAGCAGGGGGAAGGGCCAGCGGCGGACAAGCTTCGATGTGACTCTCAGTGCGTTGGATATGGCGATAGCGGTCAGTGGTGCAGCTGCCTCCAATGCCGCTAATCTCACTGCTGCTGCTGCTGCTGCTGTTGCTGTTGCTGCTGCGGCCGTCTCTCCCGCTGCCGCTGCTGCTGCTGCTACTGTCCGCGTCGTCACTGTTTCCGTCTTCTCCAGCACACTCAGGACTATCGCCATCGCCACTCTCCTCGTCCGGAAACAGCGCTCTCACCACGCTCGCCCTCTCCCGCCGCTCGCTTCCCTCAGTCCCCCGCTCCTCCCCGCCGTCGCCTCTGCCCCGAGAGCTGATTCCCCACAAACCGCACGTGCGGGCTTTCTCCGCCGGACTTCCTCGCGCGGTACTGTTATCCCCGTCCGCCGTCCCCGCACTACGCTTATGCGCCGCAGGCGGAGCGGCATCAACATGAAGCTGGCGGCCGAGCGGGCAGAGCAGGAAGTAAACGCCCGCGACAGTGCCCAGGCCGAACGCGCCGAATATAAATACAAGCACGGGGAAGATTCGGCGGTCCGCGGGCGCGTGCAGGCAGAGGCAGAGGAAGATTCCGTACTGGCTCACGCACGCGATGTTGAGTAACCCGATCACCACTGCCATGTGGCGACGTTCGTGAGGCTTCGCCACCGCCGCGTCGCCTCGCGAGAAGACTTTCCGCAGGCTGATCACATCGGACGGCCGCCAGCGGACGAGACGGAGGAGGTAGACGAGGCGCGTGGGGTGCAGGAGCAACGCGGCGACGGTACCGGCCGCCTGCAGCACCTGCATGGAGAATTCGAGCAAGTCTGCGCGCTTCTGGTCCGATGTGAATGCGACGCGGTAGATGCCGGTCAGCAGCGCGAAGACGCCGCACGCCATGATCACAATGACCACCGCATTCACGAGAACTGGTAAACGCGGCGGGTGGCGAATGTACTCGCGAACCAAACGCAGACTTGCGAACAGCTTTTCGCGAAAGGAGGTGTTTCCTAGAGGTTGGGTTGGTGGGTTGGCGTTGTGGCCGATACATTTTCCATCTTTGACAGCTAATTCTGGTGGTAAAGCGTCGCTCGCATCCCGGCTCGCGTGGCCGTCCGGTGTCGTACTGCTGCATGATGGGGCGAGAGGGCTTGACGTCGCGCTGGTGGACGAGTCGGTGAACGCGACGGACGACGACGGCGACGCGTCGCTGCGGTCGCTTGAGTGTCGCGAGGATGTCGTCTCGGGAGAATTTAGTGGCCGCGAAGCCTCGGAGTTAACAGCGCGCGACGAGGGGGGTGGGAGGCAAGGAGTGAAGGGAGGGGCGGCCGGGTGCGTCGCGGCTTCCATGGCGGAATCTTGTAGTTCGCAGGGTCTTGCACTTTCCAAGTGAGAAATGTCCCGCCTTCGGCAATCTTGGATTTCGCAGATTCATCCGAGTGTTAGACGGAGAATTGATTGCAATTCCTGCACAAGTGCGTTGGAGTGATCAGTCTGAATGGTTCATCCTGGTGCGCGCTGGTCTAAAGCGGTGGAACCTGGAAACCGCGCCTAAACGTAATTGACCGTATTTAACCACGTCAGACGACTATGAAGCAGAAGGGTTTGCGTGTCTTGAGTGTTCCGAATGTGGCTGAATAGGGCTTGGTACGATCAAGAGCAGTCCTTTTTAGAGTGGCTGGTAGGCTTCAGTCGCGAGTACTTTCTTTTCGGAACGAGGGCGCGGGGAAAGTGGTTGACCGCATCAAGGACAGTCGCTGTATGGTGGTGGTGCGCCGTGCTGGTGGTGGTGGTGAGCTGGCGCTCACTTAGCACGGCGAGGAAGTGGCTCCTAGGTGTACCCCCGGCCGCAGGTCCCACCCGCCCCTACCTGAACCATCCGCTCTTCTCTTTGAAGTTCGGTGAAATGACGCGCATCGGCGAAAATCGCGTTTCTCTCAATCGGATAGACCCAAATTACCCCGACCTCGCCACGTGAGCGTTTCCCAAAATTGGATGGACGGCGTATACGCGCGCCCCCCCAAACCGATTTTCCCGTCCTTCCCCTACAAATTCTTTCAGCTTTATCACAAATAGACGCAACGTTCTAGGGTACCTCTACATTTTCGCCACATGATGAGCTTCTGATTTGTCGAAACATGTGTAGAGGTAAAGGTTATGGGGAAACCCCCTTGGTATTACCCTGGCTGTCGGTCGTGACCCGCCTACCTATTTGTTTACACGCCTCGCTGGGTAACGAGGTTGTTGTATCCACTCCCAGATCAGCACCTGTATAACCCCCTTCTGAGGGACTAGGAGAACACGCCGTAGGGGGGAATTGATCCCGGGACCTCATCCTTCAGAAGTAAACCAGCTAACTAGCTGGGCCACTTCACGATGGTCGAAACATTTGTAATTGCTCTTGCACGTCAGACTAAGTATAGTTTTTATTGTTTTGAATATTTTAAACAAAAAATTTTCCCTAAAATATCTAGACTTGTTTTATTAGTTAAGAAAATCAACTCAAAGGATAAGAAATGTCATTCGTAAGCAAATATCAGTAAACAATTCTTTCGAATAGAAATATTACCCTCCAATAAAAATACTGTCAAAGAAGTTTGCTTAATATGAAACCGTACTCTAAATAAAAGATTATTATTATACTTTGATTACTAAATGACCATACTCTCTACCAACCATTAACTTCAGAGTATGGTTGATATGGAAATGGATGATTAGGTAAAAAAACAACTTCAAATTTAACCGTGCATTCCCCAAAGGCTCCTCGCGCAACCGAACGTGCACGTCATTCTGTGAAGAATGAGGAATGGATCAACTAGGAATGAGATGGCTACTACTAGGAAAACCTAGAAATATTGTACCCCATATAGTCTACCCCACTACAGCCTACACACACTATAGCATATAAGTTTTACACACCCCCATAGGCAAAGTGGGGGGAGAACAAGAGGTCACAAGACCAGTCAAGCAAAGCAAAGCAAGCTCAGGGTGGATCACAATTTCACCACACATTCCGAGCACAAGAGCAAGGCCACAAGGCCAGTTCACATGCAAGATCATATATAAAGGTAAACAGGCAAGTGCATGTATAGAAAGATCACAGTACAAGCAAGGTCAAGAAGTGAGCAAGTGAGGCCAAGTAGGCACAAGACCTAGCATCGTACAGAAGCGCTGATGATCACCAGGCGGAAGTACCTTGGTAAAGATATCAGTAGTCTTGGCCTCAGAGGCCACGTAAGCAAGGCGCAGCTGACCACGCTGCTGCAACTCACGAGCAAGGAAGTAGCGAAGATCAATGTGCTTCGTACTGTGCTCCAGTCTGTGCTCCCGACACAAGGCCAGCATGGCCTTGTTGTCTACGTACAGAACTGGAGGAGAACGAGGCAGCTCTCCTAGGTCAGTCAGCAGGTAGGTGAACCAGCGTAGCTCCTGTGCAGCCAAGGCCCCCGCGTAGATCTCAGCCTCACATTTGGAGCCGAGAACAGAAGACGAGCGGGTAGACCGCCACGAAACAGAGCCGGAGCCAAGGCTGAAGGTGTAACCCTGTGACGACCGCTGCGTAGCCTGGTCGTCAGCCCAAGAAGCGTGTGCGTAACCTGTGAGGACCACTCGACGTCGCCCTCCAAGCACTAGCTCCATGCCCGACGTACTGCACACGTAGCGCAACATCTTCTTCGCTGCAGCCATGTGCTGTGGTCGGTGTCTCCCAGGAGCAACATAGCGTGCCAAGATGCTAAGAGGGTATGCAAGGTCAGGTCGTGTGCAGGTCATCAGGTAGATGAGGCAGCCAACAAGCTTTGGGTACGGGCAATTCGGCTCTACGGACTCATCCAAAGGCAGAGCTGAGAGCGAGTGGCGAGTAGACAGAGGAGTGGCCTGAGGCGAGGAGTACGTGAAGCCGAAGCGCTGAAGGACCTGCTGCACCATGTGTGACTGAGTCAGGGTAATGGTGCGCTGTGCTCTGTCCCGGGTGATCTGCAAGCCAAGGAAGCTGCGCAGTTCATCCAGGTCTGTGCACGTGTGTCTCTTCTACAGCTCGGACTTCACGTGGGCGAGTTGAGCAGTGTCAGCACTGGCAAAGACCAAGTTGTCGATGTACACGAGGATGTAGAACGACGGCAGAGAGGTGTCGGTGCGCAGAAACAGCAACGGGTCGGCTGTAGAAGGAGCAAACCCAATAGCCGCAAGTGTAGTCCTCAGTGTGTCGTGCCACTCACGGGGCGCCTGGCGGAGACCGTAGACTAGCCGCCGGAGGCTCCACTGGGTACCAGGAGGAAACGACCCAGTGAAGTCAGGTGGGCGGCGCAGCCGGATCTCCTGGTGCAGGCTGCCCTGCAGGAAAGCAGTGCTGAAGTCAAGAGAGTGAAGCTCGTAGTCGCGCTGAGCGGCTATGTGTAGCAGCACCCGAAGAGTGGTCATCTTCGAAGTAGGAGAGAAGGTCTGAAAGTAGTCAACTCCCTGCCGCTGACTGAAGCCTCGAGCCACGTAACGCGCCTTGAAGACAGGCGGAGAACCCGGTGGCCGCTTCACCCTGAAAATCTACATGCCACTGACGATGTTCCGCCCAGGTGGGGGAACCTCGTCGACGTAGGTGCCTGTGGACTTCCAGGAACCCATCTCTACGTCTATGGCTGACTGCCACTGTGAGGAGTAGGGACCCTCGATCGCCTCAGCGTACCATCGAGGAGTCGGGATGTCTGGTGCATCCGGGTCTCCCTCAGGGGCAATCAGCGTGGACACAAGATGGGGCAAAGCAGCAGCAAAACACTGGAACTCCTCCTGCCTGTCCTCAAGGACGTCCGTGCTAAGAGCACACTCACCCTCAACGGACGGAGGACAGACAGACCGAGACTCAGCAACAAGACTAGTAGCGTAGTCCAGACGACATTGAGCAGCAAAGTCGACAAGCTCAGCAACTAGGGCCGACGGAGCAGTGCACTCAAAGGAAGGGTCAGTGACAACAGTAGCAAGGAGACGTGTGATAGTAGGACAGACAGCACGAAGAGAGCCAGACTACGGGTTAGCAAGAACAGGAAGAGGGGACTCTGGAGGAGACGGTAACGGGACAAGCAGAGGAGCAGTGGACGGACGCAGTGCCATCTGGTTTGTATCTGGGATCGTAGGAGGACGCGGACGCGGAACACGACTACGAGTACGAGCAGCACGAACAGGCAACGCAGGACGAGACGCAGGCTCATGTTGCTCAGCAAGACCTCCAGTATGACCAGTGTAGGGAGAAGGAACAGGTAGGGGGGAGGCGGGCGGTAACTGTGACCGCGACTGGACAGGCTGTGGACACTCTAAGGGAGGAGAAGGACAAAATAGAGGGCGGGAGACCAAGAGCGGAACGAAGTACGGCCGCGGGTGCGCAGCGCCTCAAGAACCAATAGGGACAGCACTAGTACCCCCAGCTGCAGCACCAGCACCAGCAGTACCTCCAGCTCCAACAGAGCCAACTCCAGCACCCTTAGAAGCACCAGCGCCAACAGCACCACCAGCACCAACACCCTCAGCAGCTTCAGTTGCAGTAGGACTGTCAGCTCCAGTACTACCAGCAGCTCCAGCAGTACGTCCAGCAGGACCAACTCCAGCAGCCTCAGCAGCACCCCCAGTCCCAGCAGCTCCAGTACCGTCAGTACGAGCACCTCCAGGACCAGCAGCGACAGTAGCACCTCCAGCTCCAGTAGCACGGCTCCAGCGCCGGGCAAACCACTCGCGCAGCTCCTGCGGAGAGAGTAGCTCCCGCCTCGACGAAGCACCGCGAGAGGCCACACAAGTAGGCCTAGTAACCCCAAGCTCCGCACCCGCAGGCTCAGCACCCGCAGGCTCAGCACCCCCAGGCTCAGCACCCCCATACTCAGCACCCCCACGCTCAACACCCCCAGACTCAGCACCCCCAA